CGACTGAGGTGCCCTTGAGCAAGGCACCGAACCCCCAACTGCTCCCCGGGCGCCACAGCATAAATGGCTGCCCACTGCTCCGGGTGTGTGTTCACTGCTGTGTGTGTGCACTTTGGATGGGTTAAATGCAGAGCACTAATTCCTAGTCACCATACTTGGCCACATGTCACTTCACTTAAAATGTGCTGCACACATCTGAATATTTGGGTTGAAGTGTTCTGGAACAGTGTTGTAAATACAACTTAACCACTGATTTCTAGTCGTGTCCATTTTTGGAAGACCAAACAAAGTAGTTTCGCTTTCACAACGAAACACAGCATCACACACGGTGGCCTAGAGTGAGCGGCGGCGGCCTAGAGTGAGCAGAGGCCGGTGGCTAGAGTGAGGAACGACCGGAGGGCTAGAGAACGGCACGGCCAGCGGATTCGACGAAGGAGGCTTGCGGCAACCACATGTGACGACCCCGGGCTGGACTCTGCTTCGTCCACAGTGAAAGCCGATCCGGCAATCCACAGCGGAAAGTTGTAGTTGTTGTACCAGCACGGATCAGCTCCAGGCATGACGAAGCGGATATCGTCCTCTTTTGGAAGGCCAAACAAAGTAGTTTTGCTTTCACAACGAATCACACAGTGCCTTCACGACATGGCGGCGGCGGTGGCAACAATACTAAAGCGAGATTAAAAGTTACGCCTTCTTTCTTTGCGTGAACATTTGGGCGGCGTTATGCAAATCTTCCCACATCGTGACGTAGATATGTGGGGGCGTGTTAGAACGAGCCGTTTTCAAGGAAAAATTTAAATCGCATCATATGACCCCTTTAAGAAAAAGGTCAATGGTCATTTGTACATTTTTGCACTTGTATAGAGTATGGCTTAAGTCACCGTTTCTTTACTAAAGGCAGCAGAGTTCAAAGACAATCACGTTCCTGTAGAGTGATCTCTATCCAAAAGTGCCCCAGTACTATGACTTCATATTCTGGCTCAGAATACTTGGAGCGGATGGTGTGCTGGAAAAGTCGAGGCTTCGCAAAACACTCTGGTGTGAGTCAGAGAGTTATGATGCCGGACTCCACCTCACACCCAGATCCCATCAGGGTCCAGGTCTTGAATCAGTCACACAGTGTTTCAGGAGTATGTAATGATTCCATCTACACAATAGACATCCACTTCCTGTGACAGGACAACCTGCATCCACTTCACATGATCTGACAAGGTCTCATTGATTGGAACGACTATGAATCAAACAATACTTTAAAATCATGGCATGGAAAAGACATGGACATTGTGTCCTGCACTAAACATTTACATCACTTGCTAATACTCCAAATGAAGTCATGTCCCTGAATTTTGAAGGGTGGCTGGGACAAGTTCACACCCATATGCTCTAACAGTCTCCCAGCACAAAGTTCAGCAAGTTCTTCATGAGGCAAGGAATGATCACTCTCTTAAATGAACAGAACACTCTCCAGTACAAAAAACCCCCCCAAATATACAAGCCTTTTGGGGAGGAAGCGTGTTGTAGTCGGTTTATGTCGTGTTGCAATAACATTTCCCTTCTCTAAATCACTCGGTCTCATCTATGAACACACTCTGTGGTTGCGTACCGCTCTGAAAAGAAAGGGCCGTTGCCCTAACAGCTGCAACTCTCTTAAATGAACAGAACACTCTCCAGTACAAAAAACCCCCCCAAATATACAAGCCTTTTGGGGAGGAAGCGTGTTGTAGTCGGTTAATGTCGTGTTGCAATAACATTTCCCTTCTCTAAATCACTCGGTCTCATCTATGAACACACTCTGTGGTTGCGTACCGCTCTGAAAAGAAAGGGCCGTTGCCCTAACAGCTGCTGAGGTGGGACTGACACTGACCCTCATGCTCACATAGCTGACATTCAGGAGATAATCAACTTAAATATCCCGACGTCCATGCGGTACAGTGCTCTGATAGTCAATATGACCCAACACAAAGCTGTGAAACGGACAAGCTTTCAATGAAGTCAATCCAGTCTTCATAACCCCTCTTGCAGCTAAGATTATTTTTAAGATACATCTTTAAATGTGGTTCAGCTCACAATATATTCATAGAGAATGGTTCCTCTGGTTTAAAGTATGCAAAAGTTGACTATCAGAATGAAATGAGTTGAGAAATCAATTTATTTTGTCTTGTTTGTGAGATTTGTGCTATTTGACATTGTGGTCATGAGAACTGTTTGTTTGCTCAGATATGCAATGTAATTTTCAGAACCAGACAACAGAAGCACATGCACAGTCAGTTGTTTTGTATGTTATACACTCACTCACTTTCCAAGAAGCAACAGCACATTAAATTTAGCTTGAATTATTATGCTATAATATTGTGCAGCGCCATACTGTTCCCTCAGTCTGCATGATCAGTTATAACAAATATCTAACATGATAAACCACCAAATACAGCACACTATTAATGTTGATGAGTGACTTTAACCCATTAATTTTCAGATGTTTCCAGTTGCAGATTTATTTGCATGAAAAAAAGAATTGCATTAAATATTGATAAACATTAAGTATATCTTAAATTTTGTATTAATTTTTTTTCATGAAAAAAAAGAATACACTTATTTCAGACAAAATTAACTGTTGGATTGGTAGCCATTTATTTTGGTATGTACAACTCAAACAATCACTGACATCAGTGATATTTAGAGATTTTATTAAAATAACATTTACAAAAGTCACTGAATTATGTATGGCAGCTTCAGTGGGATATAATATATAGAGCCTATGTAGGTCACAGTATAAAAAACATCTAGAAACCTATGGAAAATTCCACAATTTGCCAACAAGTCACTAAAACTGCACTAAAATACATAGCAAGTTGTCAAAGCTCTTTAAAAAAGCTGTCTATTTGTAAGACAATTGTTTTTCTATGATCACTCAAATGTTCAGAGATGGAAAAAGTGGTTTGAGCATTCAAACTTGACATTCAATTGTCAAAAAACTCAAGCACGTGGGTCCACCATCCAAGCCTGCCATTTTAATCTGTCATATGGATGAGGTTACACCACTTCCTGTGTCAGTTAGCTTGCTGCCATTCCAGTCATACTTTCTTTCTAACTTGAGACATGTAAGGGAGGCAGTGTCAAGTCAACAGGATTCACTGGTCAAACACAATTCAAAGAGTTACTGGCACAAACACAATAAATCTGCTAGTAATGATAGCAGCCTCTGCAAACAAGGTTATGTAAATCGATGGAGGTTTGCAGGTGGCTTGGCCAATCTGAATGACATTGCCACAGCTATGTATACGTGTATATATGTGTATATATGTGTATAAATAAATAAATAAATATATATATATATATAATATATATATATATATATATATATATATATATATATATATATAAATATGATTCAAACCTGCACTAACAACTCATTTAACCCAAAAGTCTCTTAAATTAAAAACTATAAAATGTGAAATACAAACAAACATATTATGCATACAGTGGAGTACAAAAGTCTAATTCAAAATCTAATTTGAATCTGAAAATAAAAGTTTTAGAATTTTCGAAATTGTTCAAAATACGGCATATTCAACATTCAAAGTTTTTCACAAAAGTGTGAAGTTCATGCAGCTTTAGTGCTGTTGTCATTAAAGCAATGGGATAAACCAATAAAAAATATTGAAATGTTTTTGTATTTTTCTTTAGCTTTGTACTCAAATTGCTGATAATATCATTTGTAATGAAAATGTATTCAGTGAGAAAACGAAAACTGACTACAGTATAAAGCAATTATTTCTATGACCTATATAATTGCTGATGCTTTGCCATCTTGAATCATCTCGTGGCATCTCATGGACTGAAATGCTACAAGTTTGTGTTTACTTTGTAGCAGACAACGTGTGAAGAGCAGTATAGGGAAATAAACTTGAAAAGTAAAAAAAAAAAAAAAAAAGGCAACAACAACAGTTTGAAGCGCAAGCACACTAAATAATATCATACCTCCATCTTGCAGCGTTGTTGGCGTCTTCTCAACTTGTCGTTGTTTTGATGTGACACTTGCTGAAGTAAACGTGCCCACTCCTTACACAAGCGCGTGAGCTCTCTCTCTCTCACACACACACACACACACACACAAGTCAAGAGGGTGGTCGTTAGTTATATTTAGGTCTGACTCTTACAACATTTCCATGGTCAAAAGATTGTGCCATACTCTGCTAAAAAGCAGTGAAATAGCCTGCAGTTTGTTACATATTTTCCCAGATTAGAGAAACTACTCATCTCTGTGCTGTGAGTGCTGAAAATACCACTACCAAGGTGCACTAGTTGTTGTTGTTTTTTTTTGCAGAAATGTTTCACAAAGAACAGCACTTTTGACAAATATAATCAAAACGGTGTTAATTTCATGAAGACTCTATACATGTTTTCTACAAACAGCTGTTTTATTCTACATTGAGCAGGTCGCCCCCTCATGGGCGCAGCCATATTTACATCACATGCCATGCCATGGAACGGACAAAACTACTACAAAAACTAGCACCACCAACAGACACTTAAGACACTTTATAAAGTGTAAAAGTACATCTAAAAAAACATATTAAACACAATATGGGCCACTATGGGCTTTCAGAAAACGTCTAAGGGTGCCTCAAGATAACTTAAAATGACAAAACATAAAACAGAGCTGTGTTAACAGCATAGTGCAGAATTGAAACAAACCAGCTTCACTGCAGCACCAGAGGTTAGCAAACACATTTCTTACATACAGACCAACAGATCAGTATCAAAAACCACTGGTACTGTTGGGATGAATAGACAAATGAAAACAAAAACTTTTAAGTAAATGCATAAATATGCATATAATCACAGTTGGAGTGTTTAAATTTGGTCTGTTAACATCCACAGGATACTAATAGTTACTCATATCAATGATTATTTTAAATGAAAAAGATTTTATCAGACAAAAGTATTCGCCTTTAAAATATCAAAAGATATTGCATGGTGACTAACAGCAAACTTGATTAATAAACACTGTTGCCAAAATGGAGCTAAAACACAATCTATGTCTGTAAGATTTTGAGGCACAACCTGTGTGTTGATGCAGAGGATATTGCTAATGTACTTTGTGCAGTATGCAACAATGGGAGGAGCTTTAGTAAGGGAACAATGGTTTTAGTGATAGCTAATACTTCCATTTATGGATGAAATGAAAGAAAGTTCAATGTTTACGTATAAACAAAACATAATTGCTGTGGAAACAGTTTTCTTGACATCTCTAAGCAGCACATCTTTTTAAAAAGGAAAAAAAGTGTACTGCAATATATATATATGGTTTCTAATGAGATCGGACCAGTGACCATGGCATTTATTATACTGTAACTATAATCCCACCACCCACCCAAAAAAATATATAATTTGAAACATGAACAGTGGAAGGATGTACAGATGTGATAAAGATCAAATGATATTCACCAGAAAACTGAGCTTCCTCGTGTGAATGTAATGACAAATAAACAGCACAGATATCTACCACATATATAACACAAGTGTGTCAAGTATAGAAACCTAAAAAGAGGAATGTGCAGTTTTAATGTGGCGACAAGGAGAGCTGCGAAAAGCAGAGGAAGCCACATGCTTTGCTAGCATTACTTATGCTTCCTGATTGCGCAGACTTTAACATTGGGACTCTACAGACATGTGCCATAGACGCACAGAGAGAAGTGAAACCTTCAGTACAGGACTAAAACAAGTTTAATTGAATATATACACTGAAAACATAATACATGCAATAGTACACACCTATGAGTGTAACAGCGTTGCCTAAATATTAGCATGATTAAAATTCAACACTATAATACTGAGGGGGTGTTTCCACAAACAGTGAATTAAACTAAAAAAAAAAGTGACTTGCAATCATTCAGTTTCAGAGAGCAGGTAACTGTCAGGGAAAGCAATCACTGGCTAAGCTACAAAGCTGAGCAAAGTTAACTTTATGGAAGTGAGCAGTGATACAACATGACAAATGGCAATAGAAGTGACTTAAATACCGGGTTCATTACAAGCTCAAGCATTGGTGGCATTAAAAAGTTGGGAAGTTGTAATTACAACTTTTGGTGCGTTTAAATTATTACAAAAAATATATTTTTTTAGGCTATTTAAATTTTTCCTTTCTCTTTGAAGTGTTTCAAGCTCTTGGTGCATAAAAAAAGATCTGTAAAGTTGCAAAGACTAAAGTCTCAAATCCAAAGAGATATTCTTTATAAAAGTTAAGAGTCAGCCACACCCACCTAAAACGGCGCGTTCTAACACGCCCCCACATACCTACATCACGATGTGGGAAGATTTGCATAACGCCGCCCAAATGTTCACGCAAAGGAAGACTGTATTCTCGCTGTAGTATTGTTGCCGCCGCCGCCGCCGCCGCCATGTCGTGAAGGTGCTGTGTGTTTCGTTGTGAAAGCGAAACTACTTTGTTTGGTCTTCCAAAAGAGGACGATATCCGCTGCATCATGCCTAGAGCTGATCCGTGCTGGTCGCTGAGGAAATACATCAACTTTGCGCTGTGGATCGCCGGATCGGCTTTCACCATGGACGAAGCCCAGGGTCCAGCCCGGGGTCATCACATGTGGTTGCCGCAAGCCCGCCGGCCGCGCCATTCTCAAGCCTACCGGTCTCCGCTCACTCAAGCCGCTGCCGCGTGTGACACTGTGTTTAGTTGTGAAAGCGAAACTACTTTGTTTGGTCTTCCAAAAGAGGACACGACTAGAAATCAGTGGTTAAGTTGTATTTACAACACTGTTCCAGAACAGTTCAACCCAAATATTCAGATGTGTGCAGCACATTTTACGGAGGACTGTGTCCTGATCCTGGTAGAGTAGACTACAATGCCAGTTGTTCTGACTGTAAGTACGTTTTTTATATTTAAAGAATTTGCCACTGATGATTCAAACGCGAGTTTTGAGCAGTGTAGAGTAGTGCTTGTTGTTTGTCATTTCTCTGATCACAAATGCAGACATGGTTTTATGTTACGCTCTGGCCGGAAAGGCATCACAGTATGGTAAGGGACGTAACATTTCCGTCACACGCTTGAGGTATTCGGCCAATCACAATGCACTGGATAGCTGGCCAATCACAGCACACCTCGCTTTTCAGACCCATGAGCTTTGTAAAAATCTACGCATTTCAGAAAGGCGGGATATAGAGGAGAAACAATGTACAGTATGTGGAAAATAATGTTATAAACATAAACATTTCATTACACCAAATAATGTTCTTTTTAGCAACATCATATGACCCCTTTAAGACAGCTCAAACATGCATTTTAGTCTGGGACTAGTCTTAAGCCTTGTGTCTTTTCTGTGAAACCAGGCAGGCATTGGTCTTCTGATATGATCGTTCTCATTGTGACAAAGTTGTAAAATTAAACAGAAAAGATTAGTATTTTTTCACACAAAAATCATGTTAACACGCATATTAGTCTTAAGTTTCATCATAACTGCCTGATTGCAACCAAGATTTTTTTTTTTTTTTTTAAACAAAAGAGGGACCAAAATTAATTTGCAGCAATCAAAATTTTGTTGATTGGTCCTAACTTGTACTGAACCCAGTGTAAACAAGGACAGTCAGTCAAAACATGACCTTTTCGTGTCGTACATCTATTTATGAAGCGCACAGAAGAATGAGGTACTTCTGGTCTGTTATCTGTTCAGCCATTTTCATTCAGTTCTGCAAAACCTGTAACTCTTCCTGCTGTAGGTTTCTTCCTGCAGCGCAAGTGCTGGGGTTTCTTCCTCCTGTCCATTTTGCGAAGAATGATCGGGAATTTTCCCCAACAAAGAAGAAGAGGATAGGGTCCAGACAACTGTTAGACGTGCACAAGCAATGCGCTATTACGGCAGCCTTCCGGACTACCAAAATAAAGTCACACGAGTCTTTGTATTCATGCTTCTGGACATGTTTCTCGGTGGTTAAGAAGATTGTCCGCACTACGTGATATGGCAAAAAGCACACCAGAAAGATCCCAAGGCTGATGATGACCAGAGCACAAGCCTTCTTCCTGCAAGGTCTGGTCCTACCGAGTGCAGGACTAGGCCTCAGAAGGTTCTTCGCAACCAAGACAGAGCAGAATATGACAACCACCAAGGGCAACACAAAGCCCACCGGAAACGTAACGTTGTTGATAAGGAGCAATTGATCCACATTGTCTTCAGCCAGCTCCAAACATCGAAAACTGCTTTCGTCTTGATCTTTTTTCTTAGTGAACAACAGCGGACTGCAGGCTAAACTCATAAAGAGCCAAATGAGAGCACACATGATACCTGCGACGTAGTGGGTCTGTATGCGTATGTATAGGTACGGTCGTACCAGCGCCAGGTAACGCAAGATGTTCAGGGCCACTAGGAAATACACAGAGCTGTACATATTCAGATAATACACGTATGAGATGACTTTACAGGTGATGTGACCAAAGGTCCAGTGAGAGTTCATTATGTAATACGAGACCCTCAGGGGCAGAGAGGACACCAGCATCAGGTCTGATACCAAAAGGTTCACCATTAACAAGCTGACTGGATTGAAACTCTTCTGGGTCCTCCATTGGCTGAAGAAGACGCAGACAGATAAAGAGTGACCGGCGAGTCCCAGGACAAAAATTAGAATGTATGCTGCAGGATACACTAGGCGTTTGAAGTCATCAGTGCTGTTGGAGCTCAAACAGGAGAGCTCTGGAAAAGACGCATTCATGTCCTTCCCTGGAGAATGATTGCAAAGTTAGAGATTTAAAACAAAAAACAAAAGTTTTTAAAGGGGTAGATCACCCTTACGTTGTTCCAAACCTTGAACCTAACGCTCTTCCAGACCCAACTGTCTTTCATTGCATCAACAGAAAAAGCACCAACATTTTTCAGAATATATTTTGTTTCGATGGAATAAGCAAGCCATTTTTAATTGAACTATCCCCCTTAACCTTAGTATGATACTATACACTCTTAAAAATAAATAACCTTTTTTTTTTTTTTGTCATCAACGGTTCCACGAAGAACTTTTTCATTCCACCACAGGTTCTTCACAGTGGAAAAATGTTCTTCAGATTATTAAAATACGTAATAAAGAAAAAAATGTTTCTTTTAAAGGGGTCATATGATGTTGCTAAAAAGAACATTATTTTGTGTATTTGGTGTAATGAAACGTGTTTATGCGTTTAAGGTTCAAATAAACACATTATTTTCCACATACTGTACATTATTGTTTCTCCTCTATGCCCCGCCTTTCTGAAACACGTTGATTTTTACAAAGCTCATTGTTCTGAAAAGCGAGGTGTGCTCTTGATTGGCCAGCTATCCAGTGCGTTGTGATTGGACGAATACCTTAAGAGTGTGACGGAAATGTTACGCCCCTTACCATACTGTGATGCCTTGTCCCAGCCAGTGTTCTGACGGTTTGTGCTACCTGCTCAGATTGTGCTACCTCCCATTAAAAAGATAGGTAGCACAAATCGATAGCGAAAAATGCGACCCATCAGATTGTGCTACCATCGTCTTATTCATGTAGTTTGAGGCTTTTTTTAAATGTCCATAACTACCCCTACCCTAAACCTACCCACCCATACCTACCCTTACCCTAAACTTACCCTTAAAACAATGCAAATATAATTTTGGTAGCACCATCTGATAGGTAGCATGTTTCGTCAGTACACCGGAGCGACGAGACAAAAACATTAAAACCCATTATAAACGAGGCATTTGTTGCATCCAGTGGGGACATAATTACGGATTATAATGACTTATACTGTCTTTTTACATGTTGCATCACACCGCGTAAACATAAAACCATGTCTGCATTTGTGATCGGAGAAATGACAAACAACAAGCGCTACTCTCCACTGCTCAAAACTCGCATTTGAATCATCAGTGGCAAATTCTTTAAATATAAAAAATGTACTTAGTCTGCGAGTCAGAACAGTTGTTGTTCTAACGATTTGTGCTACCCGCTCAGTTTGTGCAACCTCCCATTAAAAAGATAGGTAGCACAAATCGATAGCGAAAAATGCTACCTATCAGATTGTGCTACCAGCATCTTATTCATGTGGTTTGAGGCTTTTTTTTTTTTTTTTTTTTTTAAATGTCCATACCTACCCCTACCCTAAACCTACCCGTCCATACATACCCTTACCCTAAACTTACCCTTAAAACAATGCAAATATATTTTTGGTAGCACGATCTGATAGGTAGCATGTTTCGTCGGCACACCGGCATTGTAGTCTACTTTGCCAGGAAACAGTCCTCCATAAAATGCGCTGGACACACCTAAATAATTTTCACAACAAAACACAGCGTCACACACGGCGGGGCTAGAGTTAGCGGCGGGGGGCGGGCTTGAGGATTCGGTGGATTCGACGAAGGAGCGTGCTAGCTGCAACCACATGTGACGACTCCGCTTCGTCCACGGTGAAAGCCGATCCGGTGATCCACAGCGTGAAGTTGATGTATTTCCTCAGCGACCAGCACGGATCAGCTCCAGGCATGACGAAGCGGGTATCGACCTCTTTTGGAAAGCCAAACAAAGTAGTTTCACTTTCACAACGAAACACAGTGCCTTCACGACATGGCAGCGGCGGCAACAATACTATGCAAATCTTCCCACATCGTGACGTAGACATGTGGGGACGTGTTAGAACGAGCCGTTTTAGGGGGGCATGGCTGACTCTTAACTTTAATAAAGAATATCTCTTTGGATTTGAGACTTTAGTCTTTGCAACTTTACAGATCTTCTTTATGCACCAAGAGCTTGTAACACTCCAAAGAGAAAGGAAAAATTGAAATCGCATCATATGACCCCTTTAAGAAAGGTTATTTGAGGAACCCAAAATGGGGGTTCTTTTGCATAACTGCAAAAACCACCTTTAGCAATCTTTATAATTAAGAGTGTAAATGCTTTGTATTTTTACTGAAAATTTTACTGTATGTACCATTTGCAGTTCACATTTTACTTTACTTTTATAAGCGGTCCTGAAAACCTGAATCTCCTTCATATTCCCAGTTAGTAGTCTTATTAAAAATAAATCTTTATCTCAAATTACTTCTTTAAACGTCACTCCACAGTAGTGCTCACATATGTTAACACAGTTGAATGGTTTTGAACAATTACAGCAACTAATTTAATGCAAGTTATATATATTTCACAGCAAATTGTAAAAGCAAAACATGTTACCTTTTCTGCAGTGTGGAGGTGAAAGCAGGTCGTCCAAAAACGCTTGCAGCTTGTCACTAGCCAAACCAGCACAGCACTGTCATCCACTAGAGAAGGTATGAAGTAGAAAAAAAACTGTAGGAGGATGTCCCAAGACTGGCCTCCCCATCATCACTTTAATCTTTCAAAAAGACTGATTCATTTCCTTCTATAAGAACAGCAGCCGCCCTTATACCTGCATTGTTCAGTATGGCAGTTCTTTCAATTGCTGTAGATAAATGTTTTGAATAATATGCCTTTATATACAGCATGCATGTCCAAAGTCCAATGCTTATCGTTATTAGGTAAGTGGCAGAAGCCACTTAAAATGCAAAACAAAACACTGGTTACTCTGAATTGTGCAAACCAGCTTTAAACCACAACAGCATATGCAAATGTGCATTTTACCGTCCCCCTTATTCGTTTCCTCATGTAACATCGAATTTAACCCAGTTACACTGCACTAAACTTTCACAAGCACAAGCACTTCTGATGATGATGTACTGATAACCTTTTAAAAAAACCCACTGCTGACAAAGCAGAGCCTTTGTGAGCGTCTATGACGATAGCAGTACATTAAAAACCATAAATGAAGCAAGGGGGAATTTGAGTTAACAAACTACATTAAATTTCATCTTCTGCCTTCACGTACAGACATGTTCCAGTATTTCGGTCATGATCATTTCTAAAGAGTAACCCACTTATGAAATGAATGATTTCACAACTTTTGGGAAGCATGGATGCAGAAATGATTTCAATGTAAAAGTGATCAGGTTTCAAAAAAACAAAAAACAAGATGCTACGAGATTAATCTCTGAACTTTAAATTGTGCAAACCAGCTTTAAACCACAACAGCATATGCAAATGTGCATTTTACCGTCCCCCTTATTCGTTTCCTCATGTAACATCGAATTTAACCCAGTTACACTGCACTAAACTTTCACAAGCACTTCTGATAATGATGTACTGATAACCTTTTAAAAAAACCCACTGCTGACAAAGCAGAGCCTTTGTGAGCGTCTATGACGATAGCAGTACATTAAAAACCATAAATGAAGCAAGGGGGAATTTGAGTTAACAAACTACATTAAATTTCATCTTCTGCCTTCACGTACAGACATGTTCCAGTATTTCGGTCATGATCATTTCTAAAGAGTAACCCACTTATGAAATGAATGATTTCACAACTTTTGGGAAGCATGGATGCAGAAATGATTTCAATGTAAAAGTGATCAGGTTTCAAAAAAACAAAAAACAAGATGCTACGAGATTAATCTCTGAACTTTAAATACAACTAATGTGAGCAAGACATTTGCGAGCATGTCATTTCTTGACAAACAGCATTCCGGTAGGAAATATATCCGCCAACACTTGTCTAAACAGTTCATCGGAGAAAAAAAAAGCATGGCTACCGTCTCCGTTTGTGGCAACAAGAGCCAGGTAAAGGTGCCACTGTCTTCCTTGAATCAAAACAGGACACATTTCATTGTTCTTTAACAAACAAGTCAGTTGTTAAACTTTTGAGGCATTTCATTATTTTTCAAAAAAGAACATTTGAGGTATAACATAATTTTTTGAATATTAGTAACAAAAGCTCTAAATCGGTCTTAAAATCCAACAGCAAAAACAACAATGCGGTCCAGGAAGAACATGAAAAGTCAGACAGATGACCGCCTGTGTTGACAAACACAAGCACTTCCACTAACACAACAATAACATCCTAAAAACTCAGTAATGCTTAAACGTTAACAAATTTATAATAGTTTCAAAATTAATTCCATTTACTTCTATCACGCAAAACAGGGGGTCCTCAAAGAAATTAGAAAAGCCACCAGCAGGGTTCAATACATGATTAAAGGAAACACTGATAAAATTTTATCTTACACCCTGTTAAATCTCAATTTCTTGTACAGCAATGAGGAAAAAGTAGGCAGCTTTAAAATCAATGGGAAAAAAACCCCCAATAAATTATCATGACACACTAAGCCCGCCAGATTTTATATGTTTGTAGATCAATTAAAGGGATAGTTCACCCGAAAATGAAAGTTCGGTCATCATTTACTCACCCTCAAGTTGTTCCAAATGTTAGTAACCAAACAGTTGACAGAACCCATTGACTTCCATTGTATTTTTTTTTTCTATACTATGGAAGTCAATCAACTATTTGGTTGCAAACATTCTTCAAAATATCTTCTCTGGTGTTCAGCAGGAGGAGGAAACTCATACAGGTTTGGAACAACTTGAGGGTGAGTAAATGAAAGACTCTTCATTTTTGGGTGAACTGTCCACTTAAGAGGTATGAGTCACGTTATTTCCTCAACAAACTACTAAAAGAATAAAACCTCCTTCATGGAACCTCACACACTTAAAACAAACTAAAATGAAATAGCACAGGAAAAGCACCTGTGCCATTTCACCACTTAAATATTAAAACAGGTGGAGGAGTCCAAAATGTAGCAACATATAACACTCAAGCATGTCAGCGTTTCCCTTTCAATGGTTGAGTGGTTTTCCTCAGGCAGTACAAAGTGGATTTATTTAGGGCTCTGGATGCTCTTTAACGGACTCCTCCTTCAGTTTCTGTTCCTGCATACGAGTGCGTGTGGAGCCTGAAGGGACAAGAACAATTGTTTTAGCAATAGCCTTTAACGTGATGCTAAATTATTCAACAATGACTTGCACCTTTTGATTACAGTATTTTGCAATGTTTCTATCTGAAGCTAATTGGGCGGAATTAAGTTATTTTTGTTGAGGATTCAGCTGGAAAATGAGATTCTTGTCATTCTTAATTATAAAAGAAAAATTCTTATGCACAACAAGATAGCATTTATTTGATAAATAATATAGTAAAAGTGTAATATCGTGAGATATTAGTGTAATTTAAAATATAACTTTTCTATTTTAACATATTGGAAAATGTAATTTATTCCTGTGATGGCAAAGCTGAATTTTCACCACCCGTTATTCTAGTATTTAATGTCACATGACACTACAGCAATCATTCTTAATCTTTTTTTTCTTGCAGGATATATATTAGTACATAATATGATACAATAGTTCCAGTCCTGGGTGATGACTGGTCAATACAGCATTCCAAAATGCATAACTGTTTTGGCTTTACAATTAAAGGGGTCATATAATGCGATTTAAATTTGTCCTTTCTCTTTGGAGTGTTACAAGCTCTTGGTGAATAAAGAAGATCTGTAAAGTTGCAAAGACTAAAGTCTCAAATCCAAAGAGATATTCTTTATCAAATTTAACAGTCAACCACGCCTACCTAAAACGGCTCGTTCTAACACGCCCCCACGTCTACGTCACTGTGTGGGAAGATTTGCATAACGCCGCCCAAATGTTCACGCAAAGAAAGAAGGCGTAACTTTTATTCTCCCTGTAGTATTCTTGCATGTCGTGAAGACGCGGTTTCATTGTGAAAGCGAAACTACTTTGTTTGGTCTTCCAAAAGAGGACACGACTAGAAATCAGTGGTTAAGTTGTATTTATAACACTGTTCCAGAACACTTCAACCCAAATATTCAGATGTGTGCAGCACATTTTATGGAGGACTGTTTCCTGATCCTGGGAGAGTAGACTACAATGCCGGCTGTTCTGACTCACAGACTGTAAGTACGTTTTTTTCATATTTAAAGAATTTGCCACTGATGATTCAAATGCGAGTTTTCAGCAGTGTAGAGTAGCGCTTGTTTGTAATTTCTCCGATCACAAATGCAGACATGGTTTTATGTTTACGCTGCGCGATGCAACGCATAAAAAAGACAGTATAAGTCATTATAATCCATAATTATGTCCCCACTGGATGCAACAAATGCCTCGTTTATAATGGGTTTTAATGTTTTTGTCTCGTCGCTCCATTCCAGTATGGTAAGGGGCGTAACATTTCCGTCACAAGCTTGAGGTATTCAGCCAATCACAACGCACTGGATAGCTGGCCAATCACAGCACACCTCGCTTTTCAGAACGATGAGCTTTGTAAAAATCGATGCGTTTCAGAAAGACGGGGCATAGAGGAGAAACAATAATATACAGTATGTGGAAAATGTGTTTTTGAACCTTAAACTGCATAAACATTTCATTACACCAAATAATGTTCTTTTTAGCAGCATCATATGACCCCTTTAATAGTGCAGCAGGACTACTTCATGTTACTTGCATGCGAGAATGCAGAAAAAAGCGAAGTAATGCAAAAATACAGAGAAGGATGCATCTAAAACAAGATCAATGAGGAACTTATTAGCGATTATTGTTTAACGCAGGTGTGTGTAGCTCAGCTGTTGTACAAAAGCTTCTAATGTGGCTCAACAAATCCAAAGTGTTACATGTAAGGCTGTTACTGCATCGATGCCAGACTTCTAATTCACTTACAAACAATATTTTCCTTTGGTTTGCATCCATCAATTTCCACATAAATATCAAATAATCAAGTAAGCTGAAGTACATTTCATTTCAGAAATATTTAATTAATCTGTTTTTTTTTTATTTATCTGATTTTTAATTAATACTGATTGTTAAATTAATACTTTTATTCAGTAAATTAAATGGATTAAATAGATCACAAGTCACAGTCAAGACATTTACAATATTACAAAAGATTTCCATTTGAAATAACTGCTGTTTTTGAACTTTCAATTCAAAGAATCCCGGAAAAAAATAAAATACAAATCTCAGTTTCCACAAAAATACTAAGCAGCACAAGTGTTTTCAACATTAACAAGAAATGTCAAAATGTTGACCACCAAATCGGCACATTAGAATGTTTTCTGAAGGATCATGTGACACTAATTCAGCTTGGCCATCATAGGAATAAATTACATTTTAAAATACATTCAAATTGAAACCATTTATTCTTTGAATTTCCTACGGTGATATGTAATCACAAAGGACAAAGAAAGGATTTTGTTATACAACCCACCTCTAAATTGCACTATATAATAAACATCACCATCTGACTCGTAACAAAAAACTACCAAAAGAATGCACAGAAAGGAGGAAGTGTGATGGTTAGAGTATCTTTGTGGTTCTGGGAATTCCAGCTCACAATTCAGACAACAGATAAAACTTACTCATCTCAGCCAGCTTCTGGATCAGTGTTGACTCGCCACTCGATTTGCTAAAAATGAACAAACATTTTTGATGATTCACTGGATTCAAACTTGGAGAGATAACTAAATGAAAAACAGAACATAAATCCCACCTTCCATCAGTTTCATCTTGTCCATCCATGTCAAAGCGTAACCTCTTCAGGGGCTTGGGGGCGGAGCCTCCATCCAGTCTCCTCTTGAGGGACCAATCGGTGCTGCTCACCATCTCATTAATCTTCTGAAATTTGTCTGCAGACTGTTGAGATGAAGAGAGAGAGTTTTAAATCAAGTCTAACACATTTCAAATAGATAGAACATTTACTAAGTGCTTTTCATCACTAACCCCAAAGGACTCGCCAATAGATATAAGAATTCTGTCCAGGACACCATAAAAGAAAAGAGACAGCACGATTAATACAAAAGACACATACACACAATTTGTCTTTTTTTAAACAGTAAAAAAAAAAAACTAACTAAATCAACCTCACTAATCATCATGCCTCATCTTAAATGTAATTACAGGTGTGAACACAGACCTGCTCCGTGGGGTCATTACCACTGGGGACATACGGCTGCTTTTCAAAGGGGAGACGTAGACGTTATTGCTGCCAGGCACCCGCAGAGGAGAGTTTTTATAGGGGCTGCAGGGGATGCGGGGAATGGGAGACAGAGGAGGAGGCTGGGAGGCAAACGGAAACACCCTCAGGTCAACCAAAAGTTGTTGTGAACTCTTTAATTCATTTAAACATGACTCGAAGCCACTAGGGGGCAGTATAACACAAGTAAAGTTTGATTCAATGCAAGTAAAAGTGAGCGTCTCACCCGAGGAGAGGAATACTGAAGAATGTTAGTCTTCAGCTTTTGCATGAAGACCAGGTTGTAGAAGACAATGATGGAGTCGTACTGCCCCTCTCTGATAAGCACACGCTTAAATGTCTGACACGTTCAGGAAAAAAAAGGTGATTTGTTTAATATCACTATAGATTCATTCTTAATGTATTTGAATGATCATCAGAATTCAATCATTTTAAAGGGAACACAAGACCGATTGATTCTCACCTCTTGATTAGTATTAGGCATCTCTTTGTAAGTGGTCACAATCGTTTTGAAGCGCAAGTCCACGTTCTTCACCTTGCATATGGCATACATAGCCGACATAATCAACTGAGAAGAAAACGGAGGAGAGGGTCAAGTTTTTAAAACATTATGCTGAACATACGGCAAAGCTAATAGAATGCAAATGCAGGATATTATAACATTTATGAAAAAAGAGCTGGTAGTACCTGGTCCAAGTGTCTGTCTCGCATTAATTCGTACTCGTTCTGGAGGGTGTGCTGAAGCAAGGTCCATATTATTGGCTCCAGTTCTGGGTGTGAGGTCAGCAGGTGTGAGAACAGTGTTTTCAGTCGCAGGTAGGCCATCCTGTACACTGAAAGACAGAAAAAAAATGAACTTGCTTTTTCTGGTAATAAGTATATATACACTGTCGTTCAAAAGTTTGGAATCGGTAAAATACTTTAGTTTTTTATTATTATTTTTGAGCCTGATAAGCATAAGAATTTTAAAAAAAACATTATTTTGTGAAATATTATTGCAATTTAAAAGAACAGTTTTCTATTTTAATATACTTTTAAATATTATTTATTCCTGTGAAGCAAAGCTGAATTTTCAGCATCATTACTCCAGGCTTCAGTGTCACATGATTCTTCAGAAATCATTCTAATATACTGATTTATAATAAATGTTAGAAACAGTTGTGCTGCTTAATATTTTTTGGAACCTGTAATACCTTTTTTCAGGATTCTTTGATAAATAAAAAGTTAAAAAGAACAGTGTTTATTCAAAATAGAAATGCTGTGTTGCAATATACACTACTATTCAAAAATGTATAGTAAAAAATAAATTTTTACTTTCTTTTTTTAAAGAAATTAATACTTTTGAGCAAGGATGTGTTAAATTGATAAAAAGTGACAGTAAAGACGCATGTTGTTAGAACATATTTCTATTTTGAATAAATGCTGTTCTTTTTAACTTTTTATTCAAAGAAATTCTTATGCTTATCAGGCTCAAAAATAATAATAAAAAACTAATTTTGTGAAATATTATTGCAATTTAAAAGAACAGTTTTCTATTTTAATATACTTTTAAATATTATTTATTCCTGTGAAGCAAAGCTGAATTTTCAGCATCATTACTCCAGGCTTCAGTGTCACATGATTCTTCAGAAATCATTCTAATATACTGATTTATAATAAATGTTAGAAACAGTTGTGCTGCTTAATATTTTTTGGAACCTGTAATACCTTTTTTCAGGATTCTTTGATAAATAAAAAGTTAAAAAGAACAGTGTTTATTCAAAATAGAAATGCTGTGTTACAATATACACTACTATTCAAAAATGTATAGTAAAAAATAAATGTTTACTTTTTTCTTTTTTTAAAGAAATTAATACTTTTGAGCAAGGATGTGTTAAATTGATAAAAAGTGACAGTAAAGACGCATGTTGTTAGAAAATATTTCTATTTTGAATAAATGCTGTTCTTTTTAACTTTTTATTCAAAGAATCAAAGAAAAAAGTATCACAGGTTCCAAAAAAATTCCAAAAACAGTTTCAACACTGATAATAAATCAGCATATTAGAATGATTTCTGAAGGAACATGTGACACTGAAGACTGCAATAATGGCTCATAAAAATTCTGTGTCACAGAAATAAATATTTTAAAGTATATTAAAATAATATTAGAACCAATATTAGAAATTGCAATAATATTTCCAAGTATGTACTTGGAACTATTGTACAGCAAATACTGTTTTTTGTTTAGTGATTTCTGAAGGAACATGTGACACTGAAGACTGGAGTAATGGCTCATAAAAATTCTGTGTCACAGAAATAAATATTTTAAAGTATATTAAAATAATATTAGAACCAATATTAGAAATTGCAATAATATTTCCAAGTATGTACTTGGAACTATTGTACAGCAAATACTGTTTTTTGTTTAGTTTTTTTTTTTATCAAATAAATACAGCCTTGATGAGCATAAGAAACTCCATTAAAAAACACTGGGATCAGTAAGGAGTGCCTAATAAAACCCTCTCTTGTGCGGAACTACTTCCTTCCGCCACGGATTCAAAGCTCAAGTTGACAGTTAAACATACGTCAACTTGCTGCTTCAGTTAGGTTATTAGTGAGAAATAATGAGGTTATAAGAGAGAAACAATGCGGCAAGACGTGCATCCAAATGAGAGAGAGAGAGAGACCGCGAAGCTAGACGTTTCTTCTTATATTAACTAACGTACTCTACGATTAGCTCAGTGAATAATAAAAAAACAGCATAGACCCGGCTAGAACAAGCGGAGTGATACAAAATTGTGAAAGGGCGTTCCTGTAGCGATACCAGTACAATATCTCACGGTTCTCAACCAATCAGATTTGAGAACCAGAACGAACTGTTGTATATGTGACCCTGGACCACAAAAAAAAAAAGGTCAATTTTTCGACATCTGAATAAATAAGCTTTCCATTGCTGTATGGTTTGTTATGATATGACAATATTTGGCCGAGATACAACTATTTGAATATCTGGAGTCTGAGGGTGCAAAAAAAAAAATCAAAATATTGAGAAAATCGCCTTTAAAGTTGTCCAAATGAAGTCCTTAGCAATGCATATTACTAATCAAAAATTAAGTTTTAATATATTTACAGTAGGAAATTTACAAAATATCTTCATGGAGAATGATCTTTACTTCATTCAATAATTTTGACCCATACAATGTATTTTTGGCTATTGCTACAAATATACCCCAGCGACTTAAGACTAGTTTTGTGGTCCAGGTTCACACATATATATAATTTTAGGAGACCAATATTAATGCATGCTATTATAGCTTGTGTATAAACTAACAAAAAAGCTTTAAGTGTTCTTTTCAGAACTCACTGCATTTGAATTGTAAGCTTTGGTTTAACCTACATTTTTTGTAGAAGAGGCTCAGAGAGTTTGAACGGAGTGCTTTGGTGCCTGGTGCGAGGGGCTCGGACTCTGTTGCTGGGGGTTGACGCACAGGAGACAGATACCTGAGGAAGATGAGAAGGTTAAACACATTACATTCACATTTTGCCAATGAAAAGGATATAAAAATGAGAGCGCTAATGAATGTCAGTGGTTAAAATACTGTTTTACTGTGCAAAACTGAGTTACTGTGTAATGTTTTTGAAGTCTTAAAAACACAACAAAATACAGTAATACTGTGAAATATTACAATTTAACACAATGTAACACAAACACATATATTATGTTTTGAATGTAAATGTAACTTAACAAGAATCTTTATGTAGCCGTTACAACAATTGAGGTGAACAAAACATTCAGTCTTTAGATTTTACATTAAAAAATACCAGCTCAAAAGAATGATTCATTCACAAACCAGACTGATCCAGTCACAGCGGTTTTTGAGAGTTGACTCACTGGAGGGGAAGATTAGCAGCAAATTACTTAAATATTGGTTTGCTCATGCATAATTTGTTTGAAACTTGATTTCAAAGGGGATGTTGAGCTTTTTTAAAACACAGACAGTCTACAGTGTGCATATATTAATGCAACATGAATTTGCATGAACTGAAATGTCAACGGTTTCCCAGCATTGCACAAAACTAGCGTATGAGGCTGACCATATGCAAGTGGTTGACTGTTTTAGAGAAACATTTCTATACTGTAGACTTCCCACAGCGCACAGACAGGCGTTCTCTTTGTGTCCATAGCAACTGGGCCTAATAACTTATGAGCTTGTCTGCAACCTAAAAAACCCAGACTTTTGGTTCCCTGTTTGCTACTCAAAATAAATCACGCCACTTTGTTCTCACGCAAAGGTCCCGCTGAAACATTAATCATATAGTACAGCAATACACTGAACCATGACTAATCCGATTTTGAATTACACAATAGCCATTTCAAAAACTATCTCTGCTGGGGAAAAAACTAAACTATAGGCCCAAAAACCCCAGAAGCATTTTTATTGTCAGAATAAACTCAAATTATTGTATATATTTTTATATTTACCAGCTCAGGCATTCTCTGAATTTCAGACTCATGTACACCAATTAAACATAATCCTTTTAAAATGGCCCAATAAGTGTCAAAACACAAGATAAAATCATTTAGTAATCCAAGGAAATTTAAACCCTTTTTTTAAATGAAGATTCAAACTAAACCTTTTGCTAATCGCAACTGAGGTATTCTGTGTCAAAGGCTGAGGGTAGGATCTTCATGTTTGAGCGTGACCAAATGAACGTGCTAAAGATGTTGATTCAGATGCGAGTTCACATCGGCAAAATGATCTTGTTCTGATTTTGTCTGCTTTCCCATGCACTGGTTATGCAATAAATTATGTTAGAATGGGGCACATTTCCTCTTTAACCCAAAATTAATTTTAGACATCGCAGCTGCATGTGCAGCATCCTGTAAAAGCACTGGTAGAAATGGACTCAAAGAGTTGATTCCTCAATTAATATTAGTTCTAGTATCAAAGGTAAGTAGTACAGGAATTGATTCTTTAACATATGACGCTATACCCTGTTGACAGGACGTTGTGCGGTTCAGAATTGCACAGCTCTAGTTCTGAGGGATGACTTACAGGTCAGCAGCAGTGTGGTTGTGATGTAGGGGTTGGTTTAGTGTTGCAGGGGGCTCTGCTTGTTCACCAGGTCCTTCCTCACGAGACTGTTTGAGGAGGTCAAAGAGCGGAGAGTCCTGCACAGAAGAACAAGATGTTGAGTTACATCACTGAATCGAAACTGAGAGCACCTTATAAAGAGGAACTGATTAGCAGATACAATGAGTGTTATAGTGAATGAGGCACTGTTTGCAATTTCCCTTGAACACTATGCGATTAATAAATTTATATATTTAATTCCCAATTTTTTTTTTATAAATTAAAAAACGAATTATATTAAATTATAAAAGACAGATAAAAAAAAAAAATCAATAAAAATAAAAAAAAATTTCCTTGGTGATTTAATAATTCACACTTCAAACAGTTAATCCCTGAAAGATAATAAACAACAGAATTTTAAGAGGAAAAAAGGTAAAGGTCTTTTTACATTTGCAAGCTTTTTACTCAAATAATTTCATTCAAATAACTGGTTGGCCAAAAAGTATAATGAACTTGATTTACAAGCTGAATGAGTTTGCATAATGTGTTGTATGTATGATGTCACGTCGAGTTAAGTGTGAGAACTTTGGACTGGCAATCCCTCTTTGTAAGTGCCTAGGAATCAATGAGCAATGTGCTCTTGCATACACACACACACCTTATAATCGAAAAGAAACCACAAGGAAAAAGCTAAACAAAAACGACACGCCACTTTCTAGCAAAGGTCTGAACAATCAAGGGCCCCAAAATAAAACAAAATACATTGTATGACTATAACATATGCCTTTCTCAAAAACCTAAATTTTCACAATGGGATTCACTTTGATTTTAAAGTATAAAAATAGTCAAACTAGTTTCAAAGACTGCTCATTCTAGCACTAGAGAATCACAAATACTACATAATATTGTGCTTTGCACAAACCTTTTTTCTTATGAAGTAATGACCAATGATTCATGGTTTAGGTGGTACCAATCTTAGATATAGTCTCTACTATACATTATCTAATTATGTAACAAAGCAAACAAATGTAATTTAACAAGGGGTGGGGGAGAAGATTTTCTCTTTAATATTACAGAAACATTGCTTGCCTATAATAGTCAACCATGATTCTAAAAGAAGCATTCAAACCAATGTGAACTCTACAGGCAACTCATTCTCATGTCTGGTACGTGCATGAGAGAGTAACAGATAAAGAGGAGGTGCTTGAACTCCAGCCCCACCCTCTCATCTCGTCTGCCTTCCAGTCCTCCACATGAAGAAAAACTCATTGTGGAAACCAGAGACTGAACAGCGGGTTGGGTTCTAAAAGCCTCACATGTCTACAACAAAGTGACAGGCTATGACTAAGATCTCAACGAGACAAAGATGATCACGCCTCAAGTCACACAGCGATGGGAAGCCAATTAAAGGAACAAGAAACTGAAATGAAACCAGGCTGGTTGGTGGAAATTTCACGCCACTCTTCTTCGTGAAGAACATCATCAACCGTGTATGGATCCTTCTTTCATGAAAGACTCAAGACTGAGGTCAAGAATCTTCTGAGCAATTTGGAACTGTGGATATGAAGAACAAACATCTAAAAATCAACTTCCTGTGCCGGTAAACAAGGCGGCTATTTATTCAACCACACACAAAGCATCCACCATGCCTTGTTGAGAGGAAAAAGAAGGTAAACTGATGTGGTTTGCTCATGCAAATGCTTACGTGCGCTTTTTGCACTTTGACAGTAGGATTACGCAACATCTGAGTGGTAAGAAGCTCCTTCTGGAAGCTTTGTGAAATGTATACACACTGAATTTGTATACCTTTTCATGGAATTTCATGTTTTGGTTCTGACCTTTAAAAGCGCTGACTGACTCCTTTTAAGCCAAACTCTAATCGATGACAATGACCGAGAACAATTCAAACACAAACTGTACCAAAGATGACTTTAAATATGTGTTATACAGCTCCGTTTTCAGTATTGTCTTTATTCTTGGGTTGCTCTTCAACATGGTGGCCTTGTACATTTTTGTTTGCAGACTGAAAATGCGCAACGAGACCACAACTTACATGCTGAACCTTGTGGTCTCAGACACCCTCTTCGTCTTCAGCTTGCCTTTCAGGACGTTCTACTTTATTAACCGTCAGTGGCCTTTCGGCGACGCTCTCTGCAAAATCTCAGTGGCCTTGTTCTACACCAACATGTATGGCAGCATCCTCTTCCTCACGTGCATCAGCATGGACCGCTTCCTGGCGATCGTTTACCCCTTCGCGTCGAGAACGTTGAGGACCAAGCGCAACGCTAGAATCTCCTGCTGTGTGATCTGGGTGGTTCTGCTTTCGGGAGGCCTAACCGCAAGTTTCGTAATGGACACCACTTCGTATACAAACAACAAAACATACTGTTTTGAAAACTACTCAAACTCCCAGTGGAAGTCCAAGGTATCGAAAGTCGTGGTGTTTATGGAAACTGTGGGCTTCCTGATTCCACTGATGATCAACTTTATCTGCTCCATGAGGGTCCTACAGACCTTACGACAGCCGGACAGCATCAGTCGCGGAGGGCAGTTGAAAAAGGCCAAGATATTGCGTATGATTGTGGTGCACTTGCTAATTTTCTGTTTTTGCTTCATTCCGTACAATGTCAATCTGGTCTTCTACACACTTGTCCGAAGTCAGGTTATTACACACTGCACTGTGGAGTCAGTGGTCCGGACAATTTATCCAATTGCATTTTGCGTTGCCGTAACCAACTGTTGCTTTGACCCAGTGATCTATTACTTCACCTCCGAGACGATTCAGAACTCTATTAAACGGAAGTCTTACGCTGTCCGCAAAAACACGCTAAACAACACAATCGACAACAGCGTTAACAGAAATGATTCCATAAATAAAATCACATCTCTTAAAGTTAAATTCATCATTGAAGAGTCTACAATATAACCAAAGTCCAGGCACAAATTGTTTTTTTATACCCATTTTATAATAAATTCTTATCTGACATACTCTGTCAATGTTAGCAATTGGTTGGCAGAGGAAATATTGACTGATAACCAACTGAAGAATGCTGAACTTGCAGAAGTATGAATTTTGAGTATCATCTTGGTGCTAGAATGGATGCGTGTTTACAGGCTTAACTCAACTACCATTTTCTTTAATGGATTATTGAACTTTTAATTGTATAAGAACTGTATATGACTGAGACCTGACAAAGAAAAATCTGTATTTCTGTACAAAGTGCTTCATTTCAAGACAAACAAAAGATTAAATAAGCCTTAAACTTTCTTGCAAAAGTCTAAATGTATCATGAATTAATAATGAATATTTTTTACAGCATTTAATAATCCAGGTTCATTTATTTTATAAATAACTATAAGTTAATTCATGTTTGTTTAAAATAGCCTTAATTTATACAAAATGTATAGAAATTTAATTAAATGCTGTTGTTCATTGTTTTTTCATATAAGCTACTGAATTAACTAAACGTTAATTGAACCTTATTGTAAAGTGTTACTATCTAAACAAAGTTCAAATGTATTTTGTTTTACATTTCAATGTATTCATGCAATAAACCTCTAGTTTATGTATAGTAATATTCAGCAAAACTGCCAGTCTCGTATAACAAATGACAATTGGGATAAAAATGTTCAGATAAAATATTCCCATGTGTCGTTTCATGTTTATTCCTGGGCAATTCAGACAGTTTGTATTGTTTTCCAAGCCAAATCATGATTAAGGTAAACAAATTCCATTATATCCGTTTAGTCTGAGGACAAACAGTAAGAGGAAAAGGGAGTGACTCAGAGAACGATGACATTACGTGGGCTTTGGTCTAACGATTATATCAAGGTTTGTCAATGTAAGAAATTAAGCTGATGACGAACAGGTCTGCAGGGTGTGCCGCTTATATGCGGTTAGAGATTTACCCAGCAATAGCTCAAGCAGTATTTTTCATCTTTTTATTTTATTTTTTTTTTTATTTATGACAATTTCTGATTTATATTAATATTTTTTTATTTTTAAATATCAGTTTTAAAAACATATGATGAATGAACTGAATGTCCCAAATCAAAGCTGCATTTCAGGAGCATAGGACAAGACTGAACGAGCCCTGCTCCATCACTCACACTGCATTCCTTGCGCAATCACATGCCCGGGGGCCACGCTCACAAACACTCAAAATCATATCTCTAAAGGGCATTTTAAACAGTATGTGATAGGCAGCAGGCTTTGCATGTGATCTTGCTGCCACACACACAGGAGCCTGAATGGAATGAGACAGTGCAACACTGGCCAAGACAATTCCAGCTCAAAGCTTAAGTTAAAAACTGCATTTCTGAGAGTGATTACTTTAAATGTTGTTCTTTTTTTTATGTAAATGCGAATAAATTGAACAATTTCAATTAAATGTCATTTATTTCTTCACAAAATGCCTTGCATGCACATAAAAATAGGACAAAGTTACAAAGAAATGATTCACAAAATCAGAACTCCGGAAATTAGGAAACTGTGACTATGCTACCTAAAATGCATTTTTGGTTATAAATAAAATGCCTAGTCAGAGGAAACTGGTAGATTCACAAAAATAGTAATTTTTGTTGTGTGTGCCACTAGCAGCAGGATTTAACAGCATTAACTTGGCAAGTGGTTCCACTTCCAGAGTGACCCTGAAAGGCATTAAATGCATGTGTGAAAATCTACAATGTGTCAGGGTACTCCATCAATAACAGGTCCTTAACTTAAGTAAACATTAGGGATGCGCCGATCGGATATTCATATCGGGTATCGGCTCCGATAGTGCCATTTTTCTCGGATCGGGCATCGGTCAGAGAGGGCCGATCCAAATTTTTTTTCTATTGTGCGAATTATTCTGTGTTACTTCTGAAGCCATACGATAGCTTAAAGTGAGCTACATATGAATATTTAAGTCCTTACATTAAAGTTCACACAAACTCTTTTCTCCGCTGTGGCTGTCAGTCATTCGTTCAGCCTTTAAACCCTGGTCGCGTTCAGTTACAGCAGTCAGCTCGGTAAAGCTCTCTCCAAGATCATTCTGTGTTCCCATTATACTTGATTTGTAAATACATGTCTATGATTTTGCAAAAAGGACTTTAT